GTGTTTCTTTGTCCTAACAGGACAGTGCAGTGTTTACACTTTTGCAGAACAAACAGAACCATGGCTCTTGTAACAATTTGCAGAGTTGGTTTCAGACTCTCCTGCTTCATGTTCTATAGTGTTTCTACAAGATAACATACTTTTTCTCTCTGAGATGCTGAGATACTCAGATCACTGCAGTGGGGAGGGGTGGAGCCCATGGTAACTTGGCCTATCACACAGTGGGGGAAAGGGGAAACATATCCCCCTGCCACCCAAAACAATGCATATGCAAATGAACATCTGGTACCCTTGACATTTCTTCCAGGTTTTTTTTTCAACAAAAATCACACGCATGGATCACTGTTAAATTGAAATTGCCAATATTTGACTTCTCTGACCTACTGGGATGATAATACTATGGTACAACCTAACGTAATCAACAGACATAAACAAATGACTATAAAATGTACTCATATAAACTTTATGTTCTGAACTTTTGGCAACACTTCCATGTAAACACAGCATACCTGGCCCCATTTCTGTGGTGAGCCCCCCCACCGCCTGCCGTGCTCTCGGGAATTAATGCACCAGGCCCAGCTATGTGCCAAGAAAGGAGGCCTCTCCTTCTGCAGCCACTACTTACTCAAGCAAAACGGGAAATTATAGTACCCAACCGCACATTCCTCACAGTTGTCTCCGCGGAAATTCGGTTTGCACTTGCAGCGGCCTGAGCCCGGCTCACAGTCATCTGCGTGTTCGGGGTTACAGCTGCAAGCTACGAGAAACATCAGGGTTCAGAGATCAGTCCTTCCCTTCACTGCACTTAATACGGTAGCTATGTCCCCAGGACTTCTCAGGCGATGTTTAATGCTCTACTATAGGTCCACGGTTACTCTTGAAAGGGCACAGCCTGTTTTCTACTTCGTACCCCGTCAATAGTTTGCAATGATCAAACCCCAGGGGCCCCCAGAGAACTCAGATGGCTTCTGAGTTCTCCGGAATATAGTTTATTACACTGAGCACTGCCCAGCTCACTGCAGAAGAAGAAAGGGCTGCACAGATTACAATCAGAGGGGGCTGGGTGGACGTGTGCTGTAGCCCCTGGTAGGTGTGTTGGACACAGCCCCTCCTGGCCACGAGCCAACTGTGAATGTCCAGGGTGGTCATCATTACGCAGGTGTGATGCAGTCACAAGTGTGGGATGCCTGAACATCGACATCTCATATGTGGACAGCACAACAAGACTGTACCCATAACCCGAATGTTAGATTCCAGTGATAGGACTTACTAAAGGCAGTTTTGCAACCAACACGACTACTAGGTTTGCATTCCAGACAGACATACTTGGGCTGTAAGAGGCTTGGTAGCTCCTCACTTGGGACCTTTCCTTGACCTGGAAAGTCCTGACCTTAGACAGCAAAAATACTGTCATAAACCAGCTAAGTACATGTCCCGTGAGGAACTGGGAAACTAGGGAGGCCATGGGCATCAAGCATCCCCCAGCCTGGCTTCTCCTGGTGTCCTCTGCTTAACTTGCTTAAGACGTACGTGTCCTGTGGATTCTTTACGCTAGCCTATAATATCTCTGCAAGACCACTTCAGTGATGAAGAAAGAGGCTGGAACAGTGATGGAGATTGCTCTGAGATTCCAGAGCACGTACATCTGCATTCACGGTGTCCTGGTCTCCTTTGCTAAAGCCTGTTCTTCGTGGGCACAAGAAAAGGGATGGACAGACTTCGTGGGATGATGTGGGAGAGGGAGGGAAGACAGGAGCACTCTTTTAACAAGGACGAATGCCCAGCAGAGAGGCAAATCAGAGTCCACACATTCTTTGGACTTTGATGCCCTCAAATGTTAGTGATACGAAGAATGAATCTGGGGGTACAGTGGGCACAGCAGCCAACTTCAGGCCTGGAACTGCTTTCCAACTGTGATAGCCACCACACATAAAACAGATTACACATGGAGGGCAAAGTCCAGTCTGACCTGTGTCTGACAGTTCCCCAGGGAAAACCCAGGGCATCTATCTGTATCACGGATGTGAAAAGGCACAGAGGCACCAGACAGATAGGACCTGTATCCTGGAGCTACCAGTTAGCGGGTTTTGCCACCTGGGCTCAAATATTTAACTACTCAGTTCAGTTTCTCCAGATCTAAAAATGAAAATAATAATACAATGTGAGTTGGTTGCATCAGACATTTGTGGAAGTATTTCACAACCCCTTGCATATAATGAGTGCTCAATAAATCATAGCTATTTTAGATACGATGACTATTATTAGATCCTTGAAATTATGACTATGTTGTCTTGATGCTAATTCAGACAAAAATTTGAAACTATTGGAGCTCGCAGAAACATGAGGAAAATGGAGGAACATTGGTTACAGGGCTAGTAACGTGACGAGCCCAACACTTTGTGTCTTCCTAGGTGCTTCTGATGGCATTTCATTCTATCTTAGGGAATATGCAGGCATACCTCATTTTATTGTGCTTTTCTTTATTGTGCTTCGCAGATACTATGTTTTGTTTTTTTTTTAGAAATTGACAGTTTGTGGCCACCCTGCATTGAGCAAGTCGATCAGCACGCTTTTTCCAACAGCATTTGCTTGTTTTGTGTCCCTGTTACATTTTGAGAATTCTCCCAACATTTCAAACTTTTTCATTATTACTGTGGTCAGTGATTACAACTAGCTGAAAGCTCAGGTGATGGTTATCACTTTTTAGCAACAAAGTATTTTTTCATTAAGGTATGTACTTTTTTTTTAGACATGATGCTATTGCACACCGAATAGGCTATGGCTATGGTATCGTGTAAACATAACTTTGATAGACACTGGGAGACCAAAACATTCATTCAACCTGCTGTATTGCAATAGTCGCTTTATTGCAATAATCACTTTCTCGTGGTGGTCTAGACTCGAACCCGCAATATCTCCAAGGTATGCCTGTATTATCAGTCCCACTTATATATAAGAAATTTGAGGCTCAGGGAGATTATGTAGCCAGCTGAGGTCACACAGCTAGAAGGAGTAGAATCAACAATGTGAAAAGTGAAAAAAGAGGGAGGGAAGGGAGCTACTAGCCCATCAGAGTTTAGCCCGGTGACCACACCAAAGTGGTACAGTACCGACACTCTAAGAAGCACCGAATCGAAATGAAACTTACGGATGCAGCCATGCGGGGCATCCACTGGAACGCCGTAAGGGCGGTAATAACCCTTAGCACAGATTTCACAGTTCACACCAGCTGTATTATGCTAGAAAGAAACAAAAGAAACTTAGAAGGAAGAATACCAGAAAAGTCCTTACTTTGTGCTGTTCATCCAATGAAATCATGGTCACGTACAATTGCAATTTCAGAGTCAAAAAAATAAGTGTTCATCTTGACCTTGAGTCTCTAAGATCTGCCACAGGGCACTGGCTGACAGGTGGGTCTGGATTTTTTTTTTTTTTTTCCCATTGGAAGAAGAAATACAGGTAAGTTCCATGAACTAGACAGCCCAGGTTTTCCCCTCTGGCACAGAATTTGCTCAGTGAAACACCTGACATTTCAGTGAGAAAAACTCAAGAGCACTCTTCTTCCTCGCTCAATCAGAAGAACTAACCACCCTTAGGTTTATCCCAAGGACTAAAGGGTCAGGTGCATATCTTTATCTTTCCCAACTTCGGAAGAAACAACGCATACAGATTCTCTTCTCTCGACATCCCAATTTTATCTGTACTTTAGTCATGACATCCTGTTCCAAACATTTCTGTTATGTGAATGGAAAATGTAGGTGCAAGTCTCCTACACAGAGCCCATTTTAAAATACAATACTAGGCGGATTTTTACATGTCATGGTTAATCCTTGTTATTGTCACAAATCAAGTTGCCCAACATGTATCACCAGTTTCCAAGAACTATACAGCACAGACCAACTCAATGTCTTGATCTCTAATTTGGAAACAATCAGAAGGACAGTGTTATTTCATTAATGAAAAGGGACATAATAGGAAGTTAAAAGGAAAAAAAACAATATAACACGCTTTGACCCAAAAGAAGTCTGCGTAAAATCAGAGTGGAGAACAAAGACCCTTTTCTGAATCCTCTTTCCCATTTTAGATGGTTTTATTAATTACAGATTTTTATTTACTACCACTCCTTGTCCTGTGGGCTAAAATCTGAATTCACTTTAACACTGAGGTCTAAAACCACACTGGCCACTTCTCTTACTTAACATTTACATGCATAAACATTTAGGCAAATATGAAGCAGCTGCAGTCCACCTCCCTTTAATCAAATGCCGATTAACCTTCTCAACTCTGCTGCTTGCACTGTGACTTATAATAGACAGGATGTGAGGTCAATCTGGTTCCCCAATTTTTTCCCATTGAAGAAGGAAAATTTCTCTGAAGTGGGCAGCCCCACCTCTCCCTTCTACCACAAATTTCGGTTAATAAAGCACCTGCCACGGGTGCCATATTTTTTAAATTTATTTTTTAATGTTTATTTATTTTTGAGAGAGACAGAGCATAAGCGGTGGAGGGGCAGAGAGAGAGGGAGACACAGAATCAGCAGCAGGCTCCAGGCTCTGACATATAAGCACAGAGCCCGATGCAGAGCTCAAACTCACAAACCGCGAGATCATGACCTGAGCCGAAGTTGGACGCTCAACCGACTGAGCCACCCAGGCATCCCACGGGTGCCATATTTTTAAGACACCTGCCACGGGTGCCATTATTTTTAGGACACAAAGAACAGCAACAAATGACCAAAAGAGAGCCACAAATCCCCCGCAGATGGAAAGATGCCTGTAGTTTACCTCCAAATCTCGGGTGTCCTCTAGGACCTTCACCTTCCCGAGAGCAATGACACACCACTTTACCCATGAACGCTATGGCCACGGTTGGACCAAGGCCAGTGGTGGTTCTGTAATTTCTATATAGGAGGTGCTGGGGAAGCTGCCTCACTGGGAAGAATGGGTGCCTGAATTTGCATTTGCCTGACATGCAACACAAGATGAGAAAACCTCAAGCTAAAGAGTGAGGTGGGTGCCAATGAGATCTATGCAGGAGATAAGCCGACTTCTACCCCACTGACCCCTTCCTTTGGCTTTCTACGGAACACTCACCTAGAAACCCCCAGGCTCTGATAACTGACAATAATCTAAATCCTCTAAACATAACTCTTCTAAGACACTGCAATCTTCAAGTAAACCCCATCTCTCCTCTCAATTCCTCAACCACATCTACAACACTGTTGCTGGCTTCCATTTCGGTGAACCTCAAGCACATGGAGACACTTAGTCTACTCACTGGCCACACTTCTGGGAAGTCTCTGAAGGGATTTTCCTGCCAAAGGCCAACATGATCTGGCCTCTGTTACTTCTCTGACCTGTCTGTTCCGGCTTGCTCCCCTCCAGCCACATGGGTGTCCCACTCCCTCTCAGGGCCGCTGCCCTGCCATCCCCTCTGCCTGGAATACCCTCCCCCAAACAGATGCCTGCCTCATTCTCCGGCTTCTTCCAGGTCTTTACCCCAATGCCACATCCTAGGGAACTGGCCACCCTAATTTAAACTTCACACACCCCAAACCAATCCTTAAAATAGTAAACCCCAGAAGTAAAAATAAAATCAATAACATATGAGAATATGGCCATCTCTGCAAATGCTTGCCCTACAGGATAATAATCTGGCTGTCCTACATGCTGGCTGATTGGCCATCTGAACGTCCCCAGGCCCAGCTCAGAGCTTATGGCAGATAGTTCTCATTCTGTCATTACCAGAACTACACAGAATGGGAGACAGCCAGGTTAGCTAGTGCCATGGACTGAATGCTGGTGTCCCTTCCAAAATGCATATGCTGAAGCCTCATCTCCAGTATGATGGTATTTGAAGATGAAGCCTTCGAGAGGTAATTAGATTGTGAGGGTGGAGCCCTGATGATGGGAATAGTGCCCTTATAAGAGAGATGATCTCTCTCCACTACGTGAGGACACAACGAGAAGGCAGCCATTTGCAAACCGGAAAGTAGGCTCTCACCAGATATTGGATCTTCCAGCACCTTGATCTTGGACTTCCCAGCCTCCAGAAAAAAAAACTCTTTACTGTTTAAAGAGTATGTACCTGTTCTGTGGTACATTTATTATAGCAGCCTGAGCTAAGACAGCTTGGTTTCTGACAGGCACACCTTGCTGTAGGGTGTGTGTATTCTACCAGGAAATTCCAACTTTATCTTGAAGCATCGCCTTGCAGCTCACCAAGCCAACTGACCCTGCTATGGCAGCAACCCTCCACTCCCCTTCCTTGTCAAGACTCCCTATGTCCCTCTGTACGTGACACAGGCCAGGTTACATTTTTTTGCCAAATGAAGAGCAAACTGTCCCAACATCATTTATATAACACCCCTGTTTCCTTTCAATTAAAAATGCCAATATTACTATAAACCAAATCTAAACATCTACATGACTGTGCTTCTAGATTCTCTATCAGAGAATGTTTTGCTATCTTCTAAGACAAATTTCCCCCATAATTATTCATCTCTTCTAAACTAAGTGTCTATCCTCCTGTAGTCTTTTATTGATAAGAACTTTAGAATCAGTCTGTCAATCTTCATTAAAAAATCTCCTAGGAATTCTTTTTTTTTTTTTTTTACTTTATTTATGTATTTTGAGAGAGAGGAAGAGAGAGAGAGAGAGAGAGAGAATGAGAAGGGGACGGGCACAGAGAGAATCCCAAGAAGGCTCAGTACTGTTAGCGCAGAGCCCAATGTGGGTCTCGAACTCATGAACCATGAGATCATGACCTGAGCAGAAACCAAGAGTCAGACACTTAACCGAATGAATCATTCAGGCACCCCAAAAATCTTCTAGAAATTCCGATGGCTATTGCACTGAATTTACAGGTTCGTTTTGAATAAATGGTATATTTATATATCGAGTCTGGAAACACATCATGTCTCTCCATATAGTCGTCTTTTATAAACTCCGAATAAGGTTTTAAAGGTTTGGACACAGCCCCACAGTTAATTCTTTTATTTGTTGTTTCTTGGAGTACCTCCAAATCATTCCATCCATCATAGCTATGTTCTCCTGCATGGATATGTTTCCACTTTCTATCTTTCTGGAATCACTTTCTGAAATCCCTGGTCTGTTAATGACACTTTTTCTTATTTTTCATGCTATTGTGGATTCCGGAAGGAGAGGATATGTTGCTCGTTTGGGATCTTTTCTATCATATTGTGGAACTTGTTGCAGGACGAAATGTAGCCGTATGTGCTCTATTTCTTGATCCCGTATCTTAGCTTTGTGTGGTGCATGTATGTGGAGGAGACAAGCAGTTTGGAAACTGCGCAACCAACCCATCAAGGACAACAGCTAGGGCGCAAGCTGGAGACTTACATCACAAGTCATGTCTCCACAAAGAAGCTGAAGACTCTGATTTAGCTAATGGAGATAAAGTATCTTCAAGCATCCTCTCAAACAACATGGGTAATCTTCAATCTTAATAAGAACATCAGCATTTCATCAAAGGAAAGAAATCAAGGAGTCAACGCCCCAAATGCTGTGTTCCTTGCTTCTTTCATTGCTCTTTCCCCCTAACATTTTATTATAAAAATTTCAAATTTTACAGTGAATATCTGTACATGCTCTATGTAGAGTTTATCATTAACATTTTACTCCACTTGTATCACATAATTATCCATATACTCACTTCTCTATCCACTAATCCGATTTTTTATGCATTTCAAAATAAATTGCAGATATCAGTTACTGTCCCCTACATCTTTAACATGCATATAATTAACTGCAGTTCAACGTTTATTTAGTTTTTTTTTCTTTTGGTGTAAAATTTACATACAAGTGCAAAACTCTTAACTGTACATTCACTGAGTTATGATGAATGAATACATCTGTGAAACCCAAGTCCCTATCTAGATATAGGACACACCATCACCTCAAAAAGTTCCCCACACCCCTTTCCACTCAACTGTCCCATCACCACCTCCCCAGAGTCAACCATGGTTCTGATTTTTCCCACTCCTGATTAGTTTTCCCTGTTCCAGAATTTCATTTAAATGACCCTGGAACTTTATGTATTCTTTTTTGTAAGTCTTCTTTCACTTGTGTTAAGTGTTAAAGTTCTTGCATTTTGTTGCATGAATCAATAGTTTGTTGCTCACTATTGGTCACTGGTATTCCAGTGTATAAATATGGCAGTCTGTTCATCCATCTTACTGTTAATAGACACCTAGGCTATTTCCAGGGTGAGGCTATTGTGCATACACCTGCCATACAAAAACTGCTTGTAAACATGTTTCCATTTCTCATGGACAAATGCCTACAAGTGGAATTTGTTAGTCATGGCGCAGGTGTGTGTTTAGTTTTTTGTTTGTTTTTTTTTTAATTTTTTTTTCCAACGTTTATTTATTTTTGGGACAGAGAGAGACAGAGCATGAACGGGGGAGGGGCAGAGAGAGAGGGAGACACAGAATCGGAAACAGGCTCCAGGCTCTGAGCCATCAGCCCAGAGCCCGACGCGGGGCTCGAACCCACGGACTGCGAGATCGTGACCTGGCTGAAGTCGGACGCTCAACCGACTGCGCCACCCAGGCGCCCCTACTTTTATTTTTAAAAACTGCCAGGCATTTTCCCATAGTGGTTGTACCATTTTTTACTCACGTCAACGATGAGTGAGAGGTAGGACTACTCCACACCCTCACCAAAACTGATGATCAGTCATTGTCATTTTAATTTGCATTTCTCAGATGACAAATGATATTAAGCCCTTTATTGTACACATATCGGCCATTTGCATGTCTACTTTTGTGAAGTGGCTATCCAAATCCAAAAATATTTTATTGAGTTGTCTTTTTATTATTGAGCTGTGGGTGTTCTTTACATATCCTGAATACCAACCATTTGTCATTTTTAGGTTTTGTGAATATTTTCCCCCATCTGTGGCTAGCCTATTTGTTTTCTAAATAGTGTGTTTTGTGAGCGAAGTTTTAAATTTTTGATGAAGTCTAATTTTTCAATTTTTCATGGTCATTGCTTTCTGTGACCTAAAAAAACTCTGCTCGTGTTCTGAATCACAAAGATAGTCCTCTCTATTTTTCTCTAAACCACTGCAGTTTCCACTCTACTTTAGTCAGATCCGTATTGATTTAGCTTTTATGTATGATTTGAGGTAGTGATCAAGGTTTATTTTTTCCCATATAAATATTCAGTTATTCCAGAACCATTTGTGAAAGGAATTTCTCCCCCACCCCCCATCCCCACACTGGATTGCTTTGGTATTTTCATCAAAAACCAAATGTCCATATTAGAGTGGTTCTGTTTCTATACCCCCTATTCTGTTACACTGATCTACTAACCTATTCTTATGTTGATATCACACTGTTGTGATTATTGTAACTTTACCTTTAGTCATTAAGTAAGATAATGCAACTCCTCTAACATTATTCTCCCTCTTCACAACGGCTTTATATATTCTAGGTCATTTATGTAACCATATAAACTTTAGAATCTGTTTGTCTGGGGTGCCTGGATGGCTCAGTCAGTTAAGCATCAGACTTTTGATTTCAGCTCAGCTCATGATCTCACGGTTTGTTTGGGATTCTCTCTCTTTCTCTCAATCTCCCTCTGCCCTTCCCCCACTCTCTCTTGCTTGCTCTCTCTCAAAAATAAATAAATAAACATTTAAAGAAAACCTAGAATCTGCTTGTCAATTTCTACCAAAAAAAAAAAAAAAACCTGCATTCAAGCTGTAGATCAATTTAGGGAGATTGAGGTCTTAAAATGGTAGATTTCATGTTATATATGTTTTATCACAATAAAAAATTTAAGTCAATAATGCTAAGTATGTAACTTAAACAAGGCATTTCAGGTTTAAGTTGGAAAAAATTGCAATGAATGTAAACAAATTTCAATAATTTCATATGCAAAAGAAAAATGCTTTCACAGAACCACTGTGAAAACAAGGACCACACTGATGTTTTCTGGAACAGCAAAATATAAAACAGAATATCTCTAAAAGACGAAAGAAGAAGAACAAAGTATTTTAAAGGACATTGAAGGACACATTTTAAAGACACATTAATCCTTCATCTGGAGAAAGGATTCTACCTACACATCCCAGTGCAATGCTTCTGCGACTTTAATGAGCAAAACTATCACCTGAGGGTCTTATAGAACATAGTCTTAAAAAGATCCTGGGATGTATGAAACCTGATTTGTAAGAAACTTATGGCTTCTATTTTACTTATATTAATTAACAGCAATAACAAATGGTATAACATGTGTGGAGTGGGAGAAAGATGATGGTGGGTCTTTCTAAGGACTTGGGGCCCCGGACCCATAAAAATGGGCATCTCATGAAAACAGCACCCCTTTAACAGTAACATTAACAAAACATCACTCGAAAAGCACACAGGACAGAGTGACAATATGGACCAAATTCACGAACATTGTACCTTCCTGTACCACACATTCCTCTTGGCTAATATCTAGTGAACCCAACTGTCCTGCAGAAGGGATGAAATATCAGTGTTTCTTATTAAGTGTCAACGGCAGACTCCATTAACTGATCACGATGTACTTCCTCACTGAGTCTAGATTCAGAAACTGTCTGAAAACAAAACTTAGGATCAGCGCCGAAGCTGACACCTCTTTGCCCTCCCATCTCAGACTCTTTCTACCACAAGATGGGGAGCATCCATGATGACAGTCGGGGATTCTCCTCTCCATTCAGGCAAAGATCTAAATGAAAAACCTAATCAGGAGAATCTGGGCAAACATGTCTCAGTCCATTTTCCCTACAATCCTTGAATGACATCCAGCTAACAAGGACTTTTGTAGACAAAAGTAATGTCTATGGAAAATACTAACGAATGCTCCTTTCCTACAGTGACATATCCACGTTGACCTAAATGGTGACTCACCTGACAATTAATGCAGACCCCTCCACCTGCATAGATGCCTTGGATATTCAAGCTTCCCCGCTGCCTCTCGACATCAGGATCATAGTAACAGTCGATGGCATGACCATGGCAGTTGCATGCTGAAAAAGCCATTCTCAGTTAATATTCCACCATTACTGTGAGACACTTAGTAAATTCCCCTAGATAGGATTACCACTCATTAAGCCACAAGTAAGTCTATTCTGGAACACGAGACTCTCGGTGAGAAATTTTAGGGATTTTTATACAAAGACTAATCTGTAACAATATGCAATGAACAGTTTCTTTCATCTGATATTGAGTGGGAGTGGCTTCTCTTAAAAAAAAATAAAATAAAATGTATAATTACAACAAATGGAGAGAAACCAAAATGCCAATTAAGCGTCAGGCACAATGAGAATGTTACTTCTACCGCTATTACTACTACTAACAAGAACAATTGAGCTCTCGGTACACTGTGAAAAGTGTTTTATGTGCGATATCTCACTTAATTTACACAACAACTCTCAAAGGTAGGTACTATTATCCCCCCGAGCCCAAATGGGGAAGCTGAGGCTTAGAAAAGTTAAAGGGTGTCGCCAGTAAGTGGCAGAATCCTGACCTGTATTTGACTCCAAACACTACTCTCTCAGCCAACACTTTAAGTTTGTCATCTCAGCACTGTTTATAGCAGCAATAAACTGGAAATAATCTTAATGTCTAATTGTAAGGAAATGGTAAGCAAACAACAGCATATTTGCTTGGCCGTCAGTTCTATGAAGGCAGAGACAGCTCAGGTTTTGTGTGCAACAGGGCATAGTCCCTGGCACATAGTGAATACTCAACAAACAGTTGTTGGATGCACTTGAATCCACAGAATGACAATATACGTGCCATCCAAAAGGATGTCAAAGAGTTTTTAATAATATGGGGAAATATCTACAAGCATCAAGTGAAAAAGAGCAGGATATAAACTTGTAGAAATAATTATGTAAATAATCTAATTTAATAATAAGACTAAAGTCTGTATGAACAAAACACTAAAATATATAACAAAGTATTAGAGTGGTTCTCTTTGGGGGCGCCTGGGTGGCATAGTTAGTTAAACGTCAGAGTTCAGCTCAGGTCATGATCTCGCGGTTCATGAGTTCAAACCCCGCGTGGGGCTCTGTGCTGACAGCTCAGAGCCTGGAGCCTGCTTTGGATTCTGTGTCTCCCTCCCTCTCTGCCCCTCCCCTGCTCACGTTCTGTCTCTGTCTCTCTCTCTCTCTCAAAAATGAATAAACGTTAGAAATTTTAAAAAAATAAGAGTGGCTCTCTTTGGGTAGCAAAATTATTGGCGATTCTACTTTTTAAAATAATAGTCCAAGTTATCTACAAGTAATGTATAATACTTCTAAAATTAGAAAATAGAATTTAAAACCAATTCAGGGTTTGCCAAGATGAAAAAGATCTAACATGAGTAAAATTCTTATTCTCTTCTAGAGAGACTATATATTCATTACATCCCACATAGATCAAATTTTCCAGGTCTTTCTAGCAATTTGTATATTTTAATCAAGTTCCCAGATAAATCTATTATGGAAGAAAATTGAGTTAGAATTTCAAGTTACCCTGTTTGTAGCAGGCTGAGTACCTTCTTATTTTCATTTCTTCAGTGGTGCCATGATTTAAAAAAATTCAGGGCATTCATATTTACTACATTAGTTATTTCTCATGAATTATGTTTGTATTGAAATACACTAATTCAAATGGAATTTAGAAAGCATCTAATGAATGGATCTTAAGAGGTCTGATTTCTAAATGCGGTTTTTTGTCATTGGTAATCACTTTGGCAAGTTTACACAGCTTAAAAATTAACGACGGGAAATTTTTAAATTTTCCTATGTGCTGGAGTTAAGCATGCCATTCATTCACTGAAGGATTCCACTCATCCAGAAAACCAACCAGACTGCTCACGTTGGAGTTCACGTGATAACATTCATTCAGTCAAAATATCCTACACCAGTACTCAAAAGCACAGGGAGAAACAATTCCTGATCATTATCGTTCCCTCTTTCTGATCCCATTATCCAGGGGTGAGGAATGGGGAAGGTACTGGGAGGGAACCTGTTAGCTAAGACTCTGAATGAGAAGGGCCAACCCAGTAACACCCTGGCCCTGGACAGAGATGCACCTGGCGTCCAGCTTGGGCAGCATCAACACTTTGCAACAATGTTAGAACCTCTCCAAGCGCTCTTGGAACTCCTCCATAAAAATCCTTTTGAGCGTTTGCTAGCCGCAGAGATCACACCACTCTTCTCTCCTAACAGTTAAACATTTAGCCAAAAAAATATAAGGTACAGACGCTTTCTTTCCCCCCTACTTCAACAAACCTGGATCCAAATACCTTTTGATCATTTAAAACCATCAAATCCATCTTTAAATGCTAAAAATATACAGGAAAAAAAAATAGGCCACAGTCTCCAAAGCCAATAAATAAAACTTACAAAAATGTTTTCAGCCACTGATATAAATACATGGCTTCCTAAGATGGGTTTAAGAGAGAATTTTTAGTTGGATGTCTTTGGGCTTGTTAAAACAGGTGTTTTATGGTTGTTGTTGTTGTTTTTGACTTTATATTACATCATAATTAAAAGCAGCCATTTTCATCTTTTTTCCTTCCTTCTCTGGTCCCCTTCACCCTGCACCTGCCTCAATCCTGCTGCAGTATAGACACCGCTCCCTGCTTCCTGCTCTCAGTATAGACACCAATCTCACCACCTTCTCCTAACCCCTGTCTCAGAGTAGTTAGGATTCCTATCTAGTATTGCATCCTAAGAAATGGTAAGGGTTTATAATTTAATAGTGGCTACATCATATTTTAGACTGCTAAAAGGAGAGGCCGGCATTAAGTGAATGCTTAATGCATATTAGCAATTATTACTGCTTTATTTTTGTTCTCACGTTCCTATCTGAATTTGGAATGGGGCACTTTTACCTCCAGTCTGGGAGGCATTACCACAGACCTGAGTCCCTAAGCCTGACATGACCCCACCCTCTTCATAAGCTCAGGGAGTTGGGGGATGGGGTGGAGGAGGATACTTAGCACCAGTCCTCACGGAGAAATGGGGGGAAAGCGTGGGCGGGGCCTTGCTTCCTGGTGCCCCTCCCCCAGCGCTCACCTTCGCACTCATTGCTCTGCTCCCACGTGGCGGGCCGCCAGCGCCTCTGATTGTACCCGGCACAACAGCGATCACACGTCTTCCCACAGGTGTGGTGCTGGCATTCACACCGAAACCTGGGCATGCGGTGAAGCACATCTCAGTTATTCAAACGCTCTGATTAGGATCATTTGCTCCTGTGTGAACACCCGACCGTCATCGTGGTTACCCAAGGTACCATTCACAGGATAATTAGGAGAACAACGCACGTTGCATGTATCACTTCAAATCCCCCTCTCACCCTGCTTATCATCTCTATCTTATAGATGGTGACACTGAGATATGGAGATACCGAAACACTTGCAAAGGTCAAGTGATGGTAAATGGAGAGCCAGACTTCAAACCTAAGTTCGTCTGACTCCCACGTTCCAGGCTCTTTCTTCTGTACCACCTTAGGTAGCAGGCAATGAATGCAGGAGCAAGCAAGTGCTGAGTGTACTGGAATGTGTTGAGTATCACTTCTTCACAAAGATCCGGAGCAGCCCTGCGAGAAAGGTCTGCTCAGGTTTCTTGCTCTCAACCTGGGGTCAGGCACAGAGATTCACCAAATCCAAGAGCCAGTTTCTAATAAGATCTCAGAAAACCCTGCTCCAAGAGGTGCTCCAGCTCCAACAAACACCTCCCTGCAGGGCCAAAAAACTGAGATTACTCAGCAAGGCAGAGGGGTAACAACCTAAAAATCTACATTCAAAGGATCAAACATGAGCCTTAAAATGTTTCCAAGTTAAAATGAAAACGTTGCCATGGCTTTCGAGTAGAACTCCAGGCTCTGTGTTCTCAGTCATCTGTGCTTGAAAAGAGGATTCAAAACAGTCCTCACTGGGCCTGTGGGGGATTCATTCTCTCAACTCTTCTGAGGGAAGGGAGGGGATAGCATATATTCAGTTACACTTCGAAAAAAGGTTATCATCCCTCTCCCAGCCCGGCTGCCTGTGAAAGCAAATGGACACAGATTTCACTGACTGCACTTGCATCGGTGCTGGAATCCAATTGGCCTTTTAGTAGACAATTTCACCTCACTGCCAAAGTATTTGCTTAAGCTGAACTGAAAGAATTTAAGGGAAGATTGCTTGAAGAACGTTTATTCCAAACACTCTCATTGGAAGATAAACATTTTTTTCTACTCTCGCAGAAGGAGAAAAAAAGAATGGGTACTAGTCTGAATCGTATTGGTGCCCACAAAAAATTGCTTCTTCTGATTCTTTCTCAGCCTAGGCTGATGGCTGATATAGAAAACTCATCCTTGCATCTGATAGAAGGATGTTATTGAAAATGTTGACCAGAGAATTCTCTTCATGACGATCACCCCACCACCCTCCCAGAGAAATGTCTTATCTGATTCTAGTGTCAACATTCTTCTCCTAAACAACTGATCACTTTTTAGGTTATCATCGTAGTGAAATAAGAAATTAGGCAGGCTTCCCCTTTTGAGTTGGCTGCTAGGAAGCTCAGAGTTAAATTGGTGATCCACCCGCATTTCCATATGCCAAGGTCAGCATGGTATACACGCTTAATTCAAGCCTTCTTCTGTCTTTTCATGGGTTCTACTTGATTAGCAACTAACTTTGCTGGTTGTCCAGACCTTTGCTCCCTCCATTACATCATTACATCCCCTTAAGTAGGTTGTAATATTTTTTCCTACCCATGGATGTGGATTTCCTCAGCATTTACATGGATAACCTGTCGGGCAGAAGCAAACCAGCAGGCAGGGGGAGGCTAGGCTGTTGTGCTGGTGTAACGTGAGGCAAGGGGAGACAGTTTCTCTACTCACCTTGATTTCTTACTCTGCGCCACCCAGTACGGAACCCCTCCACGTCTGCCAAGGTCAACACGCTTGGCAGCACTTCCAGGCAGGAAGCTCAGACTTTCTTCGATGACTTCAACTCCTCTCCCACATGGAGGGAGGCCATTTTGTCTGAGGCCCCAGGACATTAGACCGACCTCTTTTCTCCCCTCTCTCTCCAACTCGGGACTTCTCTGACTTCTAGTGTCTCAGGGCCATACCCTCCAGGAGGCTACATGTGGCAATGGAGTAATCATTAATAAACAAGTGCTTGCCAGTTAAAGGCTGGTGAGTTGATGGATTCACGTTGTTGTGTCATCCCCTAAGGAGGGCTGACAACATTAGGGATTGCTGCTGGTCAGGAACAGGGCTCCATGCCACCCAAGATGGTAGCTGGCACCTGTCCCTGACATGAAGCCTAATGTTGTACAAACCTCAATCTGATTAAAACTAAAACGTCTCTGGTAAATGCTGCTCATGGGGAATTGTAGATTCTAAACAAAACATTGAGAGAAAATTATTACTATATCTAGCATCCAATCATTTCCAGCCACAAAAGCATCCCTCTTGTATTGATAACATGAGTGTATCCAGTTGCTGAACACTTAATAGTTAATATCCATGCATCTTATTGTATGTAAAATAGGTCTCAATTAAAAACAAAATGGGTGCACCCATGTTCATAGCAGCATCCTTCACTGTAACCAAAAGGTGGAAGTCACCTAAATGTCCATCAACAGATGAATGGACAAGCTAAATATGGTATATACACAATGAAGTATTATTCATCCTTTAAAAGGAAGGAAATTCGGACACATGTTACAACATGAATGAACCTTGAGGACATTACACTAAGTGAAAGAAACCAGTTGCACAAAGACAAATAATGTGTGATTCCACGTATATGAAGTACCTAGAGTCATCAAGTTCATAAACACAGAAAAGGGAATGGGGGTTGCCAGGGGCTAGGGGAGGAAGGAACCCGGAGCTGTTGTTTAATAGGTATAGAGCTTCGGTTTTGCAAGATAAAGTGAGTTCTGGAGATTGTCTGCACAGTTAAGACAGTAAATGTTATATTCTGTGTGTTTTACCACAATGAAAAGAAAAGAAAAAAAACAAGGATTTAAAAACGTACATCCCCTGATCTCATTAGACCAGGGATGACAAACAAGTTTAATTTCTCTTGCTAACTCTAATCAATTATTCACGGATGCCTGGGGCACCACCTGGGTATGGGGGCCCGCATCCCAGAGCATCCAAAGAGCACTGTGATCGATTAGCCATGTCTGCCACGGGCTGGTTGGGGCACGTGGAAGCAAGTACAGGGCCAGAGGAGGGGGGAAATACACACACCATTTATTTGTTGACAGTGAAACATTCCTATGGAGGGCAAGGACTTAGAAATATTTAATGAGACGCAAGCATCTACTGAAACAATGAGACATTCACAACAAGGCTAAAAAAAAAATGTGTACAATGTACTTACAGTTTTTCAGGATTGTTTGCATTGCACTCTTCTGCATGGCCATTGCAAACACACCGCCCACCAATGCTGATGTCCTTTATGCTGTAATAATACTATATAACAGAAGACAGCAGTGACCATTTTACTAAGCAGCAACAAACTTTCCTCATCTGTAACTCACCCCTGTATTGACCTTCTTCCCTTTCATCCTGTATTCTTGAGCCTACCTTAACTCAAAAGGGAGCAGCATTTGGATGTAACTTTTCTTACAAAATAAACACACTCCTCAATCAAATATCCTAGCATATTGCTGAATTTGTGCACTTTTAAAAGTCCAAGGCTTTAAATGCACGGAGAGAAACTGCCTTGGAAAGTAAGCACGCCCTATTATAGCTTTCTGGAAAAGGATTAAGCGATTCCCAGGTCACTTTTTTATGTCAGTCTGGGTTTCATAAATCCAACACATCTATTTACCAAAAATAAATTTATAATATCAAAAATGTTGCACCTACTACATGCCGGCTTGGGGAAAGGAAAGAATATTGACAGCCATGGAGCAGATACAGTGTCGAGGCTGGCCAGGCCACCAGCAGCTGTGAATGCCTGGCTAGCTGAGGGTTAGTAAGAATGAAGGCAGCGTTCAAGCTCCAAAGGGCCAGACAGAGCAAGCTTCAGACTCCCCTGGGGATCAGCCCCTAGACCAGGCCACAGATCTGGGAGACCATGTCAGCAGCCAGGCACACCTCCGGTATGCTGGAGACCTCCCTGCTAGCAACGACAGGTGGCACAATCTACCAGTTCCTTTCCTTCTCAGACTCAGCAGAAGCCGCACAGGCCCCAGCGAGGAATCTGTGGGGTGTCGAATAATCTTTCTCATGAGGCCGTGCTGCCAGTGAGAAAACCTCGCTGTCAGCGAGGAAGTCTTTGAATTCACAAGGACGAGAGGACTTTTGTATCTTTGTGTTGCTGCTGTGGCCATCAGTCACCTTACAGCACTCTATTCACTCCATGGAAGGGTTCTGTTCTGATTTCCACACTAACACCTGTTGAAGTATCTTACTAAGCCTTACTAAGTCTGAAGATATTAACAATCCCTGTTGTTAATATGGATAAATTCAGTATTAAAGGGCTTTCTAGGACAGGTTAACACTAAGAGCTCTCATGCTGATCGTCATAGAAATTTCTCTCTACCCATGTGTTAAGGGCAGCAAGCAGCAAGGGAGAGAAGCCCTCAGTCAGACTTCACCGCAGCAGCACACATGAGAGAGTGTGATGTTCTGGTCTATTCTGTTCCTCCACTTCAAGAGGCAAACTAGATTGGCATGAGGGGTGTCCAGATTATATGTGAGATGAGCCCCATAAAAACTTCCTTCACAGAGACGACTATGTTCACCTAAGTAAAAAATATACGTACCTATGAGTAACGGATCTTGCAACCTCCAAAAAGAGAATTAAAGGGAAAAGATGGTGAGGTGCATTTGTATCAAGGTTCCAAAATATCTAGGGACTGGAAACCCAGTCTGGCTACAGTCTACCCAAAATCCCAGCTCTCCCCTTCATCCTGGGATCCAGTGTAGCCCCCACCTACCGCGGCTCAGAGAGAGCTAAGGGGGCACAAAATGCAGCTGGCAAGCCACCTACACCCAAGATGACCTCTCTTTCTAGAAAATGATCAAAACTGTAGCAAAACCTACTTATCTCTCTGCCTTCCTCTTCCAGCTCTCTGATATTACCTACACAAGAAGCCAAACTCTATAAGATACACTGTACATCTTCCATTCACCCTTCCAGGTCCACTCTCCAGGACCACCTTTTTCTTTCTGCCTTCTGCTCTGGGGCTGAACTTTATGGGCTACAACAAGGATCTCTTGCCCACTGGCTTCCTGTTGGGTTTGGCCAGTGGGAGGCACCAGCAGGAGATCAGAGGGTGGGAGAAGAGTGAGTTCAAGATATTTATTCTGCTGGCTCCCTCTCTGCCCAGGACGCAGGGGTACCATCCTGACACTGAGAGTAACAGATGTCTACCCAATGCAGTAGACATCACTAGTGCTCACAATACCCGTCTCCTCCACTGTGGCTGGATTACATTACCCAGCCTCCTGCACATGGCGGCGGCGGGGGGGGGGGGGGGGGGGGGGGGCTACACCGCCAATTCCTGCCAATGGAGGTCACCAGTGTGGTCAGGAGCAGGTGGGTCTTCTCTATGCGCTCTCTTTCCTCATCTGCTGACCAGGTGCAGGGGATCTAGAGGTGGACTCTGAGGTCCTAAAGGATGCCTGTACCTCTAGATAAAAAGAGTGTGCTTCCCTGAATGACTGCGTGGAGTCGATTCCACCTGCTGCCCACACTGGACTGTGACAGGAACAAAAAATTAACCTTTATTTTGTTATGCCCCTGAGACTTGGGGATTATTTGTCAGAATAGCAGGCTAACACCTGAGGGGCTGTCATCTTTGACTTCGTCCTCTTTGAATAGAATGATTTTCCTTCAACAACTAAACTTCAAAGTTACATCTAGTATTTCATACAAGAACAACTCCTATACTGACACCATTACTGGCTGTAAAGATTACTTGAAAGGCAGTTAATTTGATAAGCAGAAAAAAAAAAGTAACAGAAACTGTTCTGTAGGCACTTAGAAACACTACTCACCCGCCGAGTGACGGTTGGATCTCTCTGTGCTTTGGAAATGAGGTGTCCAAGAAGGGTGTTGGTTCGGAGAAAACATAGGCGGATGTTTGTAGCCTTTGTGAACTCCCTCAGGGTGTGAGAGAAAGTAAAATTTTTTGCACCTGGTCGACCATTTATCAAGGACACCACAATCTAAAATAGTCACACACAAAAGGGAAAAAAGTCCTTTCATGAAAATACAGCCACAAGTAACTAAAAATAACATTTTTTTTTTTTTAGTTTGGTTTCTTTGAGCCATTAGAGTTTGTAGGTGGTCTTGGGTCTTGTTTACGTCTAAAAATATCATTGCTAGTTTTGTCTTTCCTTCCCATTTCCAGTTCCAAATTCTGGCTATCTCTCCTTAAAACCTGGGCTCTCAAAAATTGTTACCATTTCATTTTCAAACCCTTTGTTCTATCAGTGTAGTTAGGGGGTTGTAATACTATGAAATGTTGAAAATATAATCTATAAATCTATAAATCTTAAAATCTATAAATATAAGAAAACAACTTTTGGTTGCATTGAAGAAACAAAGCTCAAGTTACCTAAAAACCTAAATGAAGTTGAAGAAAGGAAGTCTCTGGATACAGAGTTGACTGTGGAAAGTACAAAAAGATCTATACAAAACCCAGGTTTGGTTTTAAAGCCTGAAGTGATGAAGTCCAAGTGCCAACAATAAGAGACAGGAACCACTCATCAGCCATTGGAAGATACTGGATAGAGTTGCTCAAGAAAGATCTCTCCATCTAAAACAGGGAGACTGGCATCCTTAAAGAAGCTCATTTGAGGGGCACCTGGGTGGTTCAGTTGGCTAAGCATCCTACTCTTGATTTCAGCTCAGGTCATGATCTCCTGGTTTGTGAGATCTAGCCCCGCATCAGGCTTCACGATAACGGATAACCATGCAGAGCCTGCTTGGGATTCTCTCTCCCTCTCTCTCTGCCCTTCCCCCACTCACAAGCATGTGCTTGCATCCACACACATGCGCCCTCTCTCCCTCTCTCTCAAAATAAATAAACTTTAAAAAAAAAAAGTTCATTTGAAAACTCATTTCATGCTCATGATGGCCTCACTTTCCAGGGAATTCTTCTCCAATTTTCCCCATTCTATTTTCCCATCTCCCATAACAATGGCCTAGCTGGCTTCACTAGGACCAAATGCAACTCCAAAGGGACAGCAATTCTTTTCTCCCCTATGGATGACTCTCACCCTGCCCAGAAGGACCAGGGATTCATACAATCACCTACCCTTCATCTCCTCACTCTTACAGGGGATATTTATTTGTGAAGCAGTGGGAGGGGTCTTCACCTCAATCACCAGCAACCCACTTTTTCAACATTCCCCAGATAAGACAGTTCAAGACCTGTGAGCCTTGAATCCAGAGTCCTGACTTCCAAAGAATTTGAGACCTCAAATAGAACTTCCAATGTCAATTATACCTCAATTAAAAAAAAAAAAGAAAGGAATTTCCAACCCAACTCATTCTGGGAGTCTGCAGTGTGAAATCTTTACTAGTCAGTTCTAAGTTCTGGTTTCCATCATGATCTATCTTAGATGTTGAAAGTGCAAGTTTCACAGTTATGGAAACTTTTATATCCTCATGTTCATTTCTGAGTCTTATCTCTCCCATCCTCCCGTATTGACTTACCTCACCATTTTCCAAAGGTACAATCCGGGAATATTCAGTAGTACAAAGTACATCATCATCTTGGCTGATAGCCATATTTGCATTCTGCCCAAATTGTTCCAAACAATCTACTTTAGAGTCTAGGAATAAAAGATTTTAACACTATAAAATAAAATATTATGATCTTATTGTAAATCTCGTAAGAAATCTTATGTATCCAGGGCGTCTAGGTGGCTGGGTTGGTGGAGCCTCTGACTCTTGATTTGGGCTCAGGTCATGATCTCACGGTTCGTGGGATCAAGCCCCATGTCGGGCTCTGTACTGACAGCATGGAGCCTGCTTGAGATTCTCTCTCTCTTCCTCTCTCTCGCTCTCAAAATAAATAAACATTTTTAAAAATAATAAAAAAAGTAAAGAAATCTTACGTTTTCTTAAGAAAATCCATCAGAAGGAAAGAACAGGGGGAAACATTTAAGGTTTTTAGACAAAAGCTTAAACTAAAGTTTTTAATTCATGAAAGAAAATACCAAGCCATGTCAGGCCACTTACTTCCAACAGAAATGTGTGGAGATGTGGTTCTAACTCCTCACTCCTCATTAGGCAAGTTTACCCTCTAAGGAGCATTCATGGAAAGCCCAGTGACTTTGTAAGCAAAATTTCTATCCGCCTCAATTCATCATAGGGTTCAGAGACACTGACACTCTTCATTAGTTGAAGATAACAGAGTCAAGGTAAATAATGTGAGATCCAGGATCCATGAAGATGAAACTTAGTCCCTAATTCTACATAAAAGGAAAAGGACTGGAGCTATGGCCCAGTTACAGGTACACTGCTTCTTCCTAAACAGTGGTAAAAGGTTTATCATAAAAGGCATTTCAACCTCAGTTCTGCATGTGTATCCTTGGAATTAATGCATGCATGATTGAGTAACAAGAATGTTCTGAGAGTAAACCAGAAAGTTAAAATTGACCCGTCCCTAATTAGCCAAACTGAGAGACTAATTTTCTAGTTAAATCCAGTGTTTATCTGTTGCAAATAATTAAAGTCCCTCATAACATAGTCATAAGCAAGGTTACTTACGAGCAAAGTATTGCCAAGGTGAGTAGGTGCTTCCAAAATCTACAGATCTTTCCAAGACCCAAAGATCAGGGCGAGGAGAATTTGCAAATTTGATTATAATATAGGCCACATGGAAAAGCTGATAAAGCAAAGGAGATACAGTTATTATACAACCTTGACCATCTCTATGTGATGCTGATCCAAGGAAACACATCAAGCCACCCCTCTCCCAAGATCCAGATCCTATTTATAACTGCCTATAGGGCAACTCTGTCTCAGTGCAGACTCTCAAGCTTATGGTGTTCAAAACCAAATCATCATTTTTCTTTCTCCACCAGATCTATACATGAATCTTTGTCACACCTTATTCATTTCATCCTTGATTTTTAACAAGGCTACACAGTATCTTAAAGCCTGTATCTTTGAAAAATCTTATATCAAGCAACAACCATCTTGTGCTAAGCTCTCCCAGGATCAAGAACCAACAGTACAGCCCAGAGTGTCTCCCAGGAGTGCCACGGCCCCTGGCTCCAGGTCTTGGAGAGCTCACAGCTGCAGAACTGAGAGCAAAGCAACTCTTTGGTAGAGTAATAGTACCTCCTTCCCCTGCATCATCTCCACTGTCTCCTTTTTTCTGAATTGTTCTCCCTCTTTTTGATTTTCTCGTTCATCCTCATTACTCTTTTGCCCATGGCCAGAACCATGTATAAGTATGGAAGAGACACGGGGAGACTTTGGTCCTTTCTTTGCCCTCCCCCTGATGAATCGCAACATGCCTCCCACGACGGACCTCAGGCATCCTTGCAAATCTACTCTTACCCTTCCCTGAAAACTTATATGGCTTGGATTTTGAACCCTGAAAGTCTATGTATTTCCCAAAGAGCCTGATATGACAATAAACACAGGTGTTAAATATGTTAACATGTCAATAAACAAGGATTATCTCTACCCCCCCATGCTCTCCACCCCCCGCACTCCCTGACCCCAAGTAACAGAGCCAACAGTGACTCTCAGAAGGATTCCCCCACCTTATTAACTAGCTCAATAGAGCAATTTGAACAATGAGTGTGTCTAGTTAGAGAAAGAGGCAGTACTCAGACTTTGTGAGATCCTTTCATTTCTTAGGGACAAAAATAAGGGGGTTTCCTCTTTATATTTTTTTACATACAATGATATGGTAAGAGTCACATATTTTAAAAAATTAAAAAGTCTAGGGGTGCCTGGGTGGTTCAGTTGGTTGAGCAGCTGACTTCAGCTCAGGTCATGATCTCACAGCTCGAAGGCTCATGAGTTCGAGCCCCACATCGGGCTCTGTGCTGACAGCTCAGAGCCTGAAGCCTGCTTCAGATTCTGTGTCTCCCTCTCTCTGCCCCTCCCCCACTGGTACTCTGCCTCCTCTCTCTCTCTCTCTCTCTCTCTCTCAAAAATAAATCTTAAAGAAAAAAAAAAAAGTCTTAGAACTAGCAGCTAGTTGCAAATGCTCCAAACCTGGTACTAGAAGCCAAAATCTTTGGGACAATGGTTTTCAAATTTTAGTCTCAGGACCCATGCACACTTCTTACAGTTATTGAGAACCTCTAAAAGCTTTTGTTTATATGGGTTATATCTCTTGGTAATGTACCCATATTAAATATAAAAGCAGAGAAAATTGAAAAATCTATCATCAGTTCACTTAAAATAATAATAAACCCACTACATGTTAACATAAACACCATATTTTTATAAAAAAATTGCTACCTTTTCCAAAACTTAAAAACTGTACAGAGAGTAGTGGCTTCACTTTACATTTTTAAAGCCTCTTTAAATGTGTGCATTGGGGCGCCTGGGTGGCGCAGTCGGTTGAGCGGCCGACTTCAGCCAGGTCACGATCTCGCGGTCCGTGAGTTCGAGCCCCGCGTCGGGCTCTGGGCTGATGGCTCAGAGCCTGGAGCCTGTTTCCGATTCTGTGTCTCCCTCTCTCTCTGCCCCTCCCCCGTTCATGCTCTGTCTCTCTCTGTCCCAAAAAAAATAAACGTTGAAAAAAAAATTTTAAATGTGTGCATTAATAGAAGACATTTGGATTCTCACACTGCTTCTGTATTGTTTTGATTGAAGTATTTAAAGAAAATCTGGCTTCACATAGATCTGTTATGGGAAAGGGGAGGATCTCAAAGCTTGTGGACCTCCTGAAAGGTCTTGGGGACCTCAAAGGGTTCCAAGCCACACTGTGAGAACCACTGCTCTTGGTCACAGAGATTACCCTTTGCCCTAAGAAGCCCCTTGGCTTATTCTCTGCATAAGGAAGAATTGTCACACCAATGACTGAAAACCCTAAATTCAGCCAGTTCTGTCCCAAACACTTGTTCTTTGATCTTGAAAAAAAGCCCCTTCACTGGCTCAGATTAATGTTCCCAGATTATTTACTGATCCTTGGAAATAAATGATCCAACCTCATGGAGAAAAACTGATTAGGAACTGTAAGGTATTCTGAAAACCATAATCTATTCTAAAGATAGAAATAATTTCCAAAAGACACATACCATTATTACATAGTGAAGGAATTCAGAGGAAATCCCAGAACTCCAAGTTTGGAAAATCACTACAAATGTTTTTCCCTGAAAACTATTTGCTTATCTCTTAGACCACATCAAAGTAAGACCGCCTTTAGACATGAGTAAGATAGGATATAAAGGAAACATTTTTGGATACAGGAATCATTCAAAGCATTCTTAACCTCTTCCCTCAAAATTCCACAATCATAGCACACACACACTGTAGAAAACAACATATTTACTTAATAGTTTATGATCTAACAGTTACTATGTTCCAGGTACTACGTGAGACACCTCACAAACATTCTCTCTCAAGAAGTTAAGTAACATGTCCAAGTATTCTAGGCTTAAAATCCTGAGCCTATGTGTATTCTACTCACTGATCATTAGCTAAGCCATAGAACCTAAGAGGTACTTAATAGTTGACCTGTTTCATCCTAGGGGGAGTAAATTATCAGAAAACTTCCAAATACCATTATTTCCAATCACCCTAAGATTCCATTATAGGGAGCCTGGAGATGAGGAGCTATGTTATAATACATCTCGAGGATTATTTGACTGCATTGGTTTTTCCAAAGCTGCACTTTCTGCTACTGAAAACTCCAAATAAATAAAACAGTCTCGGTGGCTCAGAAGGGATACTCTTTTTGTTTCACTTCATCCTGTTCCAAGGTAATGTCTCCTTTCTTTCTGGATTGTTCTCCCTCTTTCTGATTTGGATTTCATTGGATTGGATTTGACCTGGATTGTGCTCCCTCTGAAGCAAGCACAGCAGTTAAAAATTCCAAATCTAGGAGCCGGTTCAGACGTGCCTCAGTGTGCTTCCCCCCACCACCTGCCAACCTTTGGAAGCCTGCCACCCGGTCTAATTTAATAAGCCTACTGATCCTACCAACTCATCTTCCAGTGCCCATGGGATGGGACATCCCTTCCATTTTCATCTTAGGAACTGGTTTCTGAGGTTCCTCAACGCATGTTTAAGTGCCCCGACTGTTGCTAGGGTGCACTTTGTTTCTTCTGACCCCATCTGCATGACCAGACCCTATGGTTTCTCTATCACCACCACCGCTGTGTAACCTGCAATCAATTCTCGCTGAGAACTCCAGCTCTGCAGCAAATGTCCTCTGAGATTCAAAGTGTCACTGCAAGGCAAAGTGAGTGGTCCCCAAAGTGGGTTTGCAGCTCGGTTCATTCAAGTCAAGCCATGAATTTATTTTTTTTTTTTACTTGATGATTTAAAATCACGTGCCTTTTAAATGGCTCCTTCCAGGGGTGCCTGGGTGGCTCAGTTGGTTAAGCGTCCAACTTCAGCTCAGGTCATGATCTCACAGCTTGTGAGTTCGAGCTCCACATCAGGCTCTGTGCTGACAGCTCAGAGCCTGGAGCCTGCCTCAGATGCTGTCTTGCCCTCTCTCTGTGTTCCTACCCCACTCACACTGTCTCTCTCTCTCTCAAAAATAAACATTAGGGGCGCCTGGGTGGCTCAGTCGGTTGAGCAGCCGACTTTGGCTCAGGTCACGATCTCGCGGTCCGTGAGTTCGAGCCCCAGTTACTGGCTTGTGCTGACAGCTGAGAGCCTGGAGCCTGCTTCATATTCTGTGTCTCCCTCTCTCTGACCCTCCCCTGTTCATTCTCTGTCTCTCCCTGTCTCAAAAATAAATAAACGTTAAAAAAATAAAATAAAAAAAAATAAACATTAAAAATAAATAAATAAATAAATAAATAAATAAATAAATAAAGGGCTCCTTCTGTTAAACTCCCATTATTAGTTACTTATGCTTGCTCCTTGATCACTCACAATTCTTCAAAGCATTCATGAGTGACTTATGAGGTTCACAGATGTAAACAAGGGCCCTTCATGAGGCTAGGAAGTGCCAGACTATGAAAGCTCTAGAAGCAGAAAAGCAGGGGCAGAGCTGTGCAATTCAGAGAAATAATATTTGGGAGTCAAAGATAAGGAGGAAGAAATGACCAGGAAGAACTGAGCTGTAGTCTTTTCTCCATGTGATTTTGGAATGAGCTGCAGAGGGCTTGAACTTCATGATCAATCAGTTGAAGATACAAAGTAGTCTTTTAAATAATGTTTCAAGAAGCAGGTAATAGGGGCGCCTGGGTGGCTCAGTCGGTTGAGTGTCTGACTTCAGCTCAGGTCATGATCTCGCAGTTCGTGAGTTTGAGCCCCGCGCTGGGCTCTGTGCTGACAGCTGAGAGCCTGGAGCCTGCTTCAGATTCTGTGTCTCCCTCTCTCTACCCCTTCCCCGCTCATGCTCTGTCTCTCTCTCTGTCTCTCAAAAATGAATAAACGTTAAAAAAAAATTTTTTTTAAAGAAGCAGGTAATATAATAGGTAGAGTGTGAGGCACTTTGACTTCAAATGCCTCTAAAGTGAGCAGGTGAGACAAGATGGCATCATCTGACCTTTGCTTCTCTGCCAATGCTCACCATTCTGAAGCCTCTGAGATTCCAGCTCACTACAGCCCATGATTTCAGGGCCTTCCCAGATGGCCACGTAGTACATGTTCAATAAATACTGTGGATAGATGCATGGACGGATGGATATTAAAGTTGTGTAGCTGCCTCCAAGTTCAGGAGGCAGAGGTGAACCCCCA